GGATAGGAGGATCAAATGACACAAATTCATTAGCAACAGAGTTTATTTTGATCTTACCAGAAAAGAAAAATTCAAAGCTTGTTTTGACTGCATCTGGAACAAAATTGCCAAAATATGCATGTGGTGGCCAGAAAATGGATTTATTTCAAAAGAGAAAGAAGAATACAGAAGGTAACATGACGAATTACAAGGAATTAGTAGAAAATCTCTGTTGCAGAGAAACTGTTACAAATGCTGCTACCAATTTTTTATTTCCTCCAGAATAATAAGATACAGAAGAGAGGGAATGGCGATGGCATCTCTCGACGCATAGCTTTCAGCATCGGCAGTTTAGGCGCCAACAAATGCGGCAGTGAAACTGATGCACAACAAAACAAGACGGCCGCGGGCGGGGCAAGCAGCAAACCATGGCAGCTAGATATATGAACACCAAAACCAAAACCAGCACCTTAGGGTCTAAACCCCCATCATCAGATGATCCTCCGCAACAGAGCTTCCCCATTGCAGAACGCTGCCTGTCTCTAGTCTTCCTCTTTTCTTCTGTTTGCCCTGCAGAAAGACCCCAGAAGTAAAATATGAGGAGATGGAAATGAGAACTAAAGGGTTCTCTAAGTCTAGTTGACCTGTGAATGAATCGTTTACTGGGAATTCCTTTCCTTTTAAAGCGGTAGTTGCCTGTATGATTGCACGGATAATTGTTTTTCACTTAAGTTAGTTGCTAACTTTCATACTCTTTTCAATTTCATCTATTATTTTTAAATTCTTTCAATCTTATTTATTATTTTTTATATTTATTTCAATTTCATTTAGTTCTTATTTTTAACAAAAATCCTCTTATTCTATAAAGAAACATTTAGTCCTTTAACTATATTTCTTTTGATATTTTAAGTTTATTGTAAATTTTAATTAATTTATCTCTATAAAGTATTTTTTAAGTCATTATATTTCATTAGAATTATAGTGTCATTTTTACAAAACTTAAAAAATTACTCTTTTTCATTAATTCTAATAAAAATTTTGTACGGTAGATTATTTTGAAATATTTTTCAAAATTTATAAACTACTTAAAAAGTAAACAAACTTTCTAGCCTAAAATAAAATTATGCTAATAATTAGTAGGTTAATTATTGAA